GCAAAACAAACTGGCTGTTTACAAACAGATCATAGCCCCCGCGATCTTCTATGCCGCCCCGGTGTGGGAATCGTGCGCTCAGACCCACAGGAACAAAATCCAGGTTGCACAGAATAGAGTGTTGAGGATGATCCTAGATCGTCCATTCGACACAAGAATAGCAGACCTCCATCAAGAGGCAGAAATTCCCAAAGTAGATTCCAAAATTGATGATATGACAACTAAATTTATTCAAAAATGCAATCTTTCTGAACATGCTTTAATAAGCAATTTGTACATAGTAGGTTAAGTGTATATAGTAGAGTAGGTTAGTTTTAAGCTGTAAATAGTAGTATTAAGTAGTTTCTCTTCAAATTCTAAAAACAAAACAAACCAATCCCACCAAGGTGGTCGACCGTGTACTAAGTCTAGGACTAATTCTGTAAAACAAATTTTGAATTTTGCCCATACCTAAAGATGAAGAAAGCAATTAAATCACTTAGTAAAAATTTATATGGTAATCGTCCAAGTTAAACTAAAATAAAGATCATTTAAACTAAAAAAAATAAACTAAACTAAAACTGCTCATTACCGCTTCGGACTGCGTGGCGCTTGGTCCTGCAGTAAGAAGGAGCAACTCAGTGACTTGGGTCCCGGGCAACTAAGGGGCAAGAATCCCAAAAAATGTCTACGTAGTTAATGAACAGCCCCTAATACGAAACGCGGAAAAGTTTTATTATGCAAAACGCCCCTCCCCTATAACGACAACCTGAAAAAACATGGACTTTAACGATCACTTTTCTTCCGGAAAATGATTGTTAAGCAAAGTATAAAGTGCCATGTAGTATAAAATAGTTTAATTCCGTTAATTTTTTTACCCAACTACTGCCCAGAGAGCTTCGAATTTGAGAAAAAAATCGCTCACAATATTTTGATGTTATTCTGTGGGTGATTTACCACCAGCTGACTGTAAAACATATCTGGTACCGCTATATATGCAATTAGATAAACATCCGAAGTTCATCCTTTTTTACATATTCTGCACAAAAGATACTTTCTGCCCCGCTCCATTAAAAAAACGGTGGGAAATCCTGTCAGGGGTGGGGCTTAGAAAGTATTTTTTGTACAGAATATGTTAAGAAGGAGGAGCGTCGGATGTTAAACCCAAATTATTAAACCGTGCATCATAGAGAAAGAAGCTCTATCTACTGTTTCCAATTGGGATCTTCAAGGGTATTGAGGTAAAGGCATATTTGTAATCTACATTAAACATGGAACCGAAATCCGAAATTTGATCAAAATTGGAGCACTGGAACTATTTTAAATAAGTGCGATTACAATAGCAAATATCACCATCAATTTATTAGTTTAGTGTCAAACAGTGGAGTTTTGCTTTAAACTACGGTTTCGAAAAAATATCGTTGTGCTCAAAAAACGAAGCTCTTTCAGATGATGTATAAAAATCGACACAGTTTTTTTTTAAATTAAAGAACCAAATTAGCGCAATTACTCAGGAATGCTTGTGTGATTACGAGCCCGCGTTTCAATAAAATCCTATTTTGAGAACATTGTTCATTTTTTAGTATTATTAGAAACTAGAAAGTCACCAAACAGACATTTTTCATGTCCATATATAATATTCATAGAAAAACACGGCATACGTTTAGACGCAGTGCGAAAATGACATGAATAGGTCCAACCAAAATCCATTACCCTACACCGGGGCAAGTAGAAACGCGTGGGGAAGTTGAAACGGTAGATGTAGCTCTTAGCGGAAGTGAACAATCACTGAGATTATTTCTAATATAGTTTGCGGTAGTACACAAAAATAATTACAGTGAATATTCACTTACAAATAGATATACGTACTGTTTCAACTTGCACCGGTGTACCTTAACTATGATGTTTACTATCAAAACATTAAACAGGTGGTGAACCTGTATACAAACTTTTGTCTTGACTTTGAAATTCAATAGCTGAATCCCCTAATTTTCAATTAATGTTGTACTAAGCACCTACTTATTGGAACCAAAACGTTTAATTTGAGAAAAGTCACAGTATTCTATTTTGCAATCATTCTACGAACACGCTGTAAAGTACATAATGATGATGCATGGTAATTTTATTTCAGGATTGTCTTACAAATTGGAGAACAAAGAGGTGCTTAAACCGCGTATGATCGTTATACTCCTTCCTCCCCTACTTCGTTGACATATGAACCAACGTTTTGTTCAATATTTTAAGTACCGTCTTCTGACAAGTAAAACAACTGCCTGTTGCGTTATCATAAAATGCAATCTTCACTTTCCTTTCTGCTTCAGAAACCTAATTTAAAACTAATGATGGAGCTACTGAAAAAAATTAATGCAGTTTTTGGCAATTGTTTTATCCCACCACATGCATTGCGTTTTTGTGTACTATACTGCGGTGCAAATCAACAAAAAATGTGTGACGAAATAGTGTCAGTTCCTATTGTAGTCGATGTCGCTGTCAAATTTAGTGTATATTAATCACAGCAAAATAAGTCAACATTGATCAAGCCAAGGTAGTTATGTAGGGGAAATTCTGTCAATTTTTAACCATTACCAGTGTTAGGAAAATATCAAAAAATCAAATATCACCAACGACCAAGATCACGCTTGATTTTCGCAGACAAAAATCAACAAGCAAACAACTGCGCTTGATTTTGCAAGCTGTGATATCGCAGCTCGGAATATCAAGCTAACAAAACTCACCAACTGCAAATCTCACCAAACTGTGGTGCGATTGAGTTTCATGATTTTTGCTTTACACCCGAATGCAACCGAAACTTCCATAACGGCTTGCAGCAGTCCCTTTGCGTCTGCCATCGGTGAAGATTAAAAAGAGATAGCAAACTATGCTTTCTCTTTCTAAGAAAACGATGTGTAATGGAATCATTTTTGTGTCGAGACAACTCTCAGCTTGATTTTTACGCGTTGTGAATAATCTCGCAATATCAAAGGAGCTTGTAAAATCAATATCAAGCATGATATTTTGTTCCAATATCACGCGTAATATTGCGAGCTCATGAGAGCGGAAAAATATCAATTGATTTCTGATTTAGCCAACACTGACCATTACATTAAATTTAAATAAATTATCTCATGCGTAAGATGAACCGGGGTCTGATAATGCTAACATGAATTATCGCGAGTTTTGAACCATAACCGAAACATTGAAATACTTTAAACATTTAAGATAAAGTATAATAATCAAAAATGCATGACAAACATCAATTTTGCGTAGTTCTACGTCATACTGCGGTCGTGTCTAGGACACAAACCTTTAATTTTATTTTGAAGAATAAACATTATGTTTTTAATACAAAATACTGAATCCGTTGAAAAATTTTTTTTTTTACTAGCTATATGACTGAAAAAATTCTCATTTTTTATTGAACACCCGTTACAAGGTCGGTTGGTTGGTTGGTTGTCTTTATTAAGGAGATTTTCAGCCAGACGCTGATTCATCTCCGGAGATACATGGTCATTTTCGGAAAAAAGGTACTATTGCTCTGCTATTTTTTTTTTAGAAAACGATTAGAATCCAGAACAAACTGGAGACATCTTAGCACCATATTGATTTGATCGCTCGGCGGCCACAAAATGCTGAGAGTGGTCATTTTCGGAAAGTGGTTCAAGAGATCTGCGGTTTAGAAAATGCATTCAATCCTGAGCAAAGTGAAGATATCTCAGTAGCATATTGATTCAATCACCCGGTGGCCATAAAATGCCCTTCCGGATATCCGTATTCACGGGAAAAATGATCAATTCCTACTGTCACCATATCGATTCTGCTTCCGGGTTGCCAAAAAAACGGTCCTCTGGATATCCGGAATCACCGGGAAAATGGTCAATTCTTCAACCAGAAGATCCACACAGATAAAATACTGAATTTTAATAGTGATGCAAGCATTCATTCACGTTAACTTGTATTTCATTTCACGCATCCGAGCAGCTTTTAAACAATGTTGTTTACAACAATGGGCTTTTGCATACAATAGTTTATACATTGCATGAAATGTCTCAGAACTTTGCATGATATATAATGTAAACTTAAATGATATGTGACGCTTCATTTATGTACATCATACTGAACAGAAATTTACACTACTTTTTCGAACTGTGCACGATTTAATCTATAAATTGCTTGAAATCTTGAGGAAATTTGCTATCACCATATCAATTCTGCTGCCGGGTGGCCAGAAAACGGTCCTCTGGATAATCAGGCGGGCATAATTACCGGAAAAGTGGGCATTTCCGAAAAGTGGTTCTAGATCATTGTGATTCTTTTTGGAAAACGCATACATCAGCAAAGTGCAGATATCTCAGCATCATATTGATTCAATCACCCGGTGGCCTTAAAATGCCCTTTCGGATATCCGGATTTACCGGAAATATTATCAATTCCTGACAGCAGACCTGGAGATTTTTCCGAAATTGCATACAATCATGAGCATAGAGGAAATATGCCATCACCACCGCAACCGGCTGGCAAGAAAATTAGTTTCAATAAACGGACGTTTAAAGGCATTGTTTTCGAAAGTACATACGTCGATAAAAATATTTGCTCAAGATTCATTCAAATGTTGTATAGCTTTGAAGTTTTCCTAGTTCGGTCGTTAATAGTTAGTATGATGTATATATGTTATGAAACCCACGAGCGTATTTCTCGCTTATTCTACATTAGTGCATTGGTTCAGAACAGCGAGCTATGACATGTTAAAAAGCTATCTCAACGATGCTCTTATTTCCATCAATGTTTGTACAGTTAGTTCTCCCTAACCTACAATATATTCTCCAAGTAGATTTCTCCTAAACTCTATGGAATATGGTTCATTCAATATCGAGTTAGAGAGAGTTGAGTTTAACATATTACAAGGGAATTTATGGTGAAACAGGCAATAGATAGCTCTAAATATCCAATTACACAAACCATTAATTGGTTGCATGCCATGATACGATGAAAAATAAATTCAGTGCATCATTGTAGATCCGACAATGTCGTGGTCAACACGTTCTTTCGAGTGTGCATTAGTTTTCATCGTGCTCTGTGAGCTGCGACCAGCCTGGTTCACTGGGATGGAGCTACAGCTACAGGGTGTAGAGCAAATTTCTGGAACGGAGCTGATCGATGCTGATGGATTGAGAATCATGAAGTTCAATCGTACCTTGGCGGTTATGAATGGAACCATACACATCACCAGAGATATTGGTGACCTCTTTGAAGTACTGTGTGGGTTTTGATTCACATCTCTAGAAACTTATTTTACTTCATTCCAGTTCCGTATATCAGTGGCATACAGTCGGATTGGCAATAATCAGTTCGTAGAGTATCCGATGAAGATTGCGAAAGAAAATGTGTGCAAGGTGCTGAATGGACCATATCGCGAATATCAATATCTTTGGGCGAATACGACCAATTTCCCGCAAGTCGCCCCAGAGGAGCGCCTATGCCCGCTTCCGAAGGGTTGGTATTGGATAAAAAATTATGCACCCGATGCAGCGTGGGTGCCATCGGTGGTTCCGGAGGGCTTATGGCGGATGACACTCGACATTTTGGATGTTGGCGGGGACATTCAGTGCCAATTTCGGTCGTACACTTGGCTTAGAAAACCTATAATTTGAGCAGTGAGAGTGTGCTTGAATTTAAATATAATAAAGTTTAGAGATAGGTCATTTGAAGCCGCATGGTACGGAATAGTGCTGCTGAGGCAGCTTAGTACTTTAAAGCAATTCATTAATCTCTATTTGAAGACACTATTAATATTAATGGGTGAAAGTTTCATCTTCGTGTAATGCACCTACCCTGAATTTTCTTTCATCACCCACACATTAGGGACCATGCATAAATTTCGTAGAATTTCGTTTCAGAACGTCAGACCGGCTATGAATTGACGATGTACGCTACGAGAGAGAGAGGGTGTCTAAAATTGGACAACAATATGTTACTTCATTATGGATGGCCCTTATCCATCACATTCGCATTCTCACTCACCGAAAACACAAACAACAAAAAAAAAAAAAACAGCGGGTTAATGAAAAAAAAGTCTCTTACCTGCTGCCAGCTTTCGTTGAAAATTTTCACGAACTGCTCGTTCAATCGCCGGATGCTGATCAGATTACAGTCAACCAAACTGTTGATGAAATTAGCAAAGCATGCAAACACGTCGTCCGCACCCCGGGCCGCCATCATCCGGATGCAACGGTTGCTCACCAGCGTTGCGAAGATGTAGTTGGCATCTATGGCATCCATCGTCCGGTCAGATTAGTGGAGATCGGTGTAAGCGAAAAGTAAATATAAGTTAGATCGGGTAATTTAATTTGGTACTGGCCCAGCGAGGGCGATGAATGTTTTCAGGACCCGAAAAGTTTCCCCTAATCTAGTCGAGAAAATCTAGTTATCCGAAGTTTGGCATCGCTGATTACTGAGTCTCACGCTTATGAATGGTTGAAGCTTGTTCAAAAGTTTTAGATTAGGAAACGGAACTTCACCGTTTATCGGTAAGAGGCCCATTTTCCACTAATCAAGGACTACCCACCTTCCTGCTGCTTTCGCTCTCTGATTCGCATAATATCCTCTTCATCCACGATGGATCGTTCGGTATCCACCAGCTTAGCAATTTCATCCTCTTCATTGACTTCGCCTGACGGTTCGGGAATGACGCAAAACTCACTCAATTTCCGGTGCTGCCACACCGACAGCAACATTTGTACTAGCTCTGGTACAATTAAATCACACCGGTTGATCACTGCAATGAAAGTTTTACGAAGCATTAAATCAGATTGGACCCGAGACGGACGGCACGGAAATCTTCTTTTCGGTGGGTTAGTCACGCACCGGTTTGTGTGTCCTTACGGTTCACACATAAAGACCAAAACACACATACCTATCAGTAATGCCAGCTGCAGCAGCATGTATGCTAACGTTCTGTTCATCGTTTGGGTGGTATCCTGTTCATCCAGGTATGTCAACACGAGAGCAAGGAATTTGGTTAATTCTTCCGGAATAAGCTCGCCCGGATATGAACTGGCAGCGTGAATCAAGCTCTGAAGCTGCTCGTACACAATGGTGTGATGCACTCGTCCCAGCGTTACAGTTAGCGGTGTCATTGGAAGCGATTGTTTGCCGGATAGTTCCCTGAGAGTTTTTGCAGCTTCCCCCGGGATGTCCTTGCAGAATAAATCTGAACGTAATTGAAAAAAGATTATTGGTTGTACAAACAGTATATCCCAGAAAGGAAAATACCGCTTGGCGGCCGATTCTCATTTAATACAAATGGCTTCGGATTGACGAGTATTTGGCGAACCTTTACAATAAATCATTTTTTAAGTCTGATTACCGCTAAATTCCACCGGAAGCTCCTTTTTCAACAAACAATTTTAAATGTGATGATTCATAATAATTCTTCTAAGCCATTCACAACACTCTCAAACACTATCCATCACATCGCACGTGATCCCTGCGATATATGAAAACACATTTGAATTTCTAAAACACTAATTACGCTAAAAGCCCCTAATCTATGATTTATAATGCGCTCAAGCCACCCCCACCCCCCAAAGCACTTACCTATTTCGTACATATGCGTCTGACGCCATTCGTTTGTGCTGGCAAGGCACCGTTCCAGAGCAAGATTGATGCACGTTCGCTTCACAGGCTCGAGGGTCTCGCTCGGGAGCAATGCATCAAATCCGTCCTGCAAAACCAATCATATGCATAAGGAAAATGAGAAGCTGAATTTTCATCCCCACCACGTTGGCAAATATCTGCTGTTACAAGTACTAACCTTGATTCGCCTGGCAAGCATGGGTGGGATTGTCTCGTCCCATCTGGCATTGATGTCGGCGAGTGCCGTTGAGCACATCATGTAAATTATCTTGGTTGCTTGGGGAATAGATTCCGCCTGTATGGTGGCAATCTGTTCCGTGATTTTCTTGCGTTCCGGGAGAAGGTGGGCCACCTGAAAGTCCTTGATGGCTGCCGACGATGCTCGTTCGATGACAAATTCAACTGTTCGGCGAACGGACAGGCTCTGGGATTGGAGGAAGGCTTCCAGCAGTCGGTGTTGGTTGTTTGTCGTTTTCTGATGGGCAGCTATGGTGGATGATCCTGAGTATTTCGTTGTTATGTGCCGGTACCGTCCGGATCGAGAGACGGTTTTTTCGACTTTTGATGGCATCATTGAAACGCGGAAGTCAGCGAGAAATGGACAGGCTGCGTTTAGGATGCTTTCGAGAAGAGGGTTTAGTGAAAGGCTTTCATTTTTGGTCGTCTTTACGTTAGGTCTAACTAGTGCCTTGGGATCGTTAGGCAAATCATTCGCTGGTTTGACTTCGCATTTCAGAACACCTCCCACGTGCTCGTCCACTTTTGTCAAGATCAAAGCTTTGTTAATTTCCATTTCTTCCGCAGTATTTTTCTCAACAAGCAGTTCAATCTTCTTATAGTGGTATAGTTTTTCATCAACCGATAGAAAAGACCGCCTCTCTTGACGGTAGCTGAGATATTCCTCCGGGATATTGGGATGTTCTAACAGCCAACCCAAACAAGCTCGTATGATGAACTTGGATGTGGGTGTCACCAGCAGTCTCTTCTCCGATTCTACCTCGTACGCATTCGTCCTCAGGTACAGCTCATACAGCAGTTCGAACAGCTCCTTGTAGTAGACCAAGCGCAGACTAATACCATCAAGCATGGCCAAATATTGAACCAACCAAGGTACGGTGATAATAAGCTTCCGTTCCGCTATGGCTTTCAGCAAAATCGATTTCACATCGAACAGAGGCAGGAGCTGCAATAAACCGGATGAAAAAAGTTTTCAGTTCAGTGAAAGGACAAGACATACAAGAGTTGAGGAATTAAATTCCTTCCTCTTCAGCTTAGCGCATCAATCAATTTCAATGCCCTCGTCGTCGTGGCAGGTTTTTGGGGCAGGTAGTAATACACCAGTGGAAGGATTGTTTGCTCAGCTATCACCCACGGTTAGAAAATGAAACATCAACAAATAGGAATGGCCGGGCAGGGGGTACAGGAGATAGGCATCAGGGATCAGAGTAAAGATGATTGCAACTAGGATTTTCCTGATGGTTGCTCGGCGAACAGGAGAAGCTTGGTCCTAATAATAGAATGGTTGGGTTGAAGCGGAATAAACAAAACTGGAGTGAGGTGAACGGGAATTAGAAATCATGATACGATTTCAATTTAAACAGTTTGATTTTCCCGGAAAGCAGTATGGGAACGGATGAATATATGAAACGGTTTGATATTGAAAGAAGGAAATTCCATCATTAAACAGTAATTTAATACGATAAATATTCGCATATTGCGATTCAAAATGGTATTGTTTTAACTACTGATATTGATATTTGATAACTGGATGATGAATATACTGCGTGTTAGAGTATTAGAACTTACTGAAATGTTAAAGCCATTCATATCAATGTTTTTTAAAGGATCAATAGACAAATTAATGTGCTATAATTGTTGGTGTTTTTGGACCATTGCCATTGATTTGTAATCAGGATATCAAAACACAGACAGCAATCAACAATATAGATAATGTTGCTTACCTAGGGTATAGCTTGATCGAAACAGTGGAAAGACATAACACAAAATTTTCCATTGATATAAATGTATCATTAAATTAAATTAAGTTAATTGAACTGCCTTGGAATTCATCGGTCTATGCTGAAGCTCCCGCAGTTTTCCTGAAGTTTTTGATACATACCCATTGAACTTCCTTTAAAATCTGTATAGTACCTTGAGCTTCTCAGGACTTGCCTGTAGTATTCGTTCCTTCATGAAGTTTGCTAAATGTACAAGAAATTCTCGGAACTTCTCCTACGTTTCAAAAAATTTCCTGATGTTCTTGGAACTATTCTGAATACCACACCGTTTTAGTTTCAAAAATTATCGGAATGCTCTATAATTTTCGGCACTTCTTGAAAGTTCCTGCAATTAATTAACGGAGCTGCTCGAAATAATCGGAACATCCCTGAAAATAATGAAACTACAGTTCTCCGGGGTCCCAGAAATTTACGGAACTTCTTACAATTTTATCAAAATTTTCCTGACACTACAGATCTCAAAACTTCTCCCAAAGTCTGAACTTATGATCTTAAGATCTCTAAGCTTCCCTGGAGCTAGCTTTTTTTTTGAAAATTTCTACAAATCTCCTAAAGCTCTGCAGTCTTCTAAGATAATTCCTTGACATCTCTGAAGTTTTATGGATACTCGTGAAGTCTAAAAACTTTTTAAAAATTACTACAGTTTCCTTGAAGCTAATATTTACAGAAATTCCCTTATTGTCCTGGAAGTTCCGAAATCCTCGGTATTTTCTTTTAATTCGAATACAATCTTGAAGTTCTCTAATTTTTCCTGACGTTCTCGCTATTCTTCTGATGGAATTGCCCTTAATTTGTTGATTTATTTTCCATCGATCCTGTTTTCCGTGCTGAGCACCAATGCTACCGACGCCAGGGAGACAGCTCCCACACCTGGACCCTACCTATCGACCCATCAAATCATGAACCGGGAACCAATGTCTTTACTCCCCCTTCCCGAAGAAAGGCGTGATCAAAGATGTTATGCCTCAGAACATCCTGGCGACGCTGACTGGGATTGAACCCAGGCCTACTGGTGTGAGAGGTAATCACGCTCTCCGAACAAAGTCCAGCATCAAAATGACAGCAAATTGAAATCAAGTTTTGATATCGAAATCAAACTGAAATCCTAATTTTATTTCAGTTTATGCAATTGACAAATTTTGTTTTCATTTTGCTGTACATTTGCTCTTGAAAAATATGTTGTTGCGGGTTTGATTTCATTGCCTTAGCATAACATCAAATGAATACTTGTTTTGTTATCAACAGGAAAAATTGATATCCAATTGAGTTTTCAGTTGCTCTCATTGATAGCAGAAATAGTTTTTGATGTGATGTCACAGGAATTGCTCTCAATTTTGATTTTTTAACCGTTAAAACAACCAAAACGACAGCAATCTGAGCAATCAGCGAAATCATAACATCAAATTTAGATTTCAATTTGATCTCAGACTTTGCTCGGGTTACCATCACACCACCAGAACTGCTCAAAGCCACGTTACATCCTTTAAGGTCTTTTAACTCACTTAAGCTGAGCTAGTAACTTCTGTTAAGTTTCTGCAATTTTCCTGAAATTAATGGGGCTGCCCTTAAGCTCTTAAATTCATTGAATTTCTAGAAATTTTCACGAAATCTATAGTACTGCCTATCGGAACTTATATGAAACATCTTAAAACTTGCCTGTAGTTCTGGACGTTCTAAAAGTTTTCGAAACTACCCTCAAGTTTTCGAAATATCCTTTCAAATCTTAAAAATTACCAGAAATTCTCATTCTTGATGCTTATCGAATTATTTTTTCTAATTTTAATAGAACTAACGTAAAGTTTTCAAAATTTAAGCTAATAAGCTCAAATTTCTCAATTTTTCTCTGGTCTTCCCTTAATTTCTCAGAGCTACTGTAATTTTCCTGAAATTAGTTAATCTGTCCTAAAGTTCCACGTAAAAAAACCGTTCGAAACCCGACCAATTACAGATGATACATTCTAGAAAAGGTTTAGTATAAGAGAAGAGTGAAGTCCAAACAAACTGCCTTGGCAACCTATGCCTGGGTGAATTAAGATGTTTCCTTGTAGAGTCCATTTTTCCATCACACCTCACAATTTCAAGAGCACACAACTCAAGATCTGCGAGGTTTACACATCTGCAAAATTCAGACATTGCTTGCTTCTCCGCAGCAAACAACAAGTAGTTGTTTCAGCTACGTGCATTCAAAGAAACCTTATTATTTTTACATGTGAAATTGCGAAGTGTAACACGAAAAAGGACGCTACAGGGAATCACCTTAAAGCAACACTGCCAATCCAATCAAGATAGGCGCTGCTAGATTGGATCTAGCGAAATTGTTTGAAGCGTCTGATTTTATCACTAGGGGCGAAGCAATATTTCAATACTTTGAGAGCGTCTAATGTAAATTGGCATTCACAAATCCCTTAATGCCTTTGGAAATGTAGGTAACTGTTTTCACAAGAGCACATGAGCATTAGGGTGGTTCAAAATATCGATTTTGCTCCACCAGGCTCAATTTATTCTAAAACATTTTCCCAACATTTGAGTTTATTTGGATGCAAACTGCACTGGCCCTTTGAAGTTTATATTGGAATTACTATGGGAAACGAAAACTTTATGTTTTCAACGTCCTAGCACTTTGCTATAATATTTTACGAAAATGCTTGCTATTTGCTCACATGTGACATTTTCTCAGTTAAAACTTTGCTTAATGCCACTTTTTGATTAGACTTCAAGGTAATTAGTTATTAATTGATTTCGAAGCCGATAACTTTCAGATATGATAAATCTGTTGCATGTTGCATTTATGAACAGGGTTGCATTATTTCATTCCTCGCTTGGTTCTGTATCACGGTATGGATGCCACGTTCTCGAAATCAATACACAGTATGAACTCAACGAGGAATATCCTAATAAAGAAGACCTTAATCTTGATAAAGTTAAATGATAAACATCTGCACTATTCCTTAAAAAAAGTCTGAAATTAATTCGTTTTCCCAGGATCTGAAGATTATTATTTACAACACACTTAGAAATAACTAATCTTACACGTGACGGAATCCGTCTTTGACATAAAAGAAGAGACGTAAACAAAATTAAGTGCTCCGAGACTGAAAAGTACGTTTGATTGAGCTATATTTCTCAATGAGTCTGTTATGACTCAAATTTATGTCAAAATTGACGCTCGCATATGTCACTCTCAGAGCACCTAAATTTACATGATTTTTTCTAAGTGTGTACGTCTTTGCAACATACTTGACGAATCTTTCCATGTCATTCAATACTTCGTTCACGTGATAACTCATTATTATTATTAGCATTATTATAATCCTTCCATTCTAATCCTCAAAGTTTTCCGATTGCCAATTGGTGCCAGGGAGACGGCTTCAGCACCTGGCAACCAATTTTGATCTTCAATTAAAATACATTACACCTAAGAACAATAGATGAAGTATCAAGATGGTTTTTGGAAAACCACTCCGATCAATTTACATTTCGAAAAGCGATTGTATTCGCTTTTTTATTTTTTTTGTGCCGCAATGTGTTCCCACTTGTTGTATTTTTTTTAAATTTTAATAACAACATTTCAACCCGATCCATACATATGGGCCTATCTACATTGATTGATTCTCTTAATCGATTTTATCTTTCGTTAATTACACGGCTAAAAACGCTTCTGACTGTGTTTATTATATTATTTGTTAGATAATAGCTTCTTCCATCGAACTGTTTGTCTAAAATAACGATTTTACATGGCATCACAAGAGAAAATCATTAACAGAATTGATCAATGTAGTTAGGACCTTATGCATTTTTTTTTTGTAAAATCATGTATTTATCATGACTTAAATGCGCAAGCTTTACGGAGCCGAAATTCAGTTTACTTATTACAATGTTTCTTAACCCTAGAGTTAGTATAAGAGGGGTCCGAATACACGCGGCTTACTTGAGGTTACGGGCTACAATCTATTAGCATCTTATCTCCACCACCGTTGAATGTAATGCTGAGACTTCTGGGATTATCCGGATATTTTTATTTTTCAATTTTAGTAAATTTTGGCAATTAACAGATCAGCCATTAAAAAAAATCGGATAATCATCACAACTTGTTGAAACAAACAGGATGACTATTCTATATGAAAACCGTAGTGATATGATATTTCTTGTCTTGACGATCATAGTC